AATATTATTATATTATTTTTATTATTATATATATTATATATATATGAAATAAAATTAATATAAAATTATAACATTCTGCGTTTTGAAAATGTTTTGTGCATGCGCGTTTTTAAAAGACGCTTGTACGAAACGCCGATTTTAATAGCGCAAATTCCTTGATTTCCAACGATTCGCGCGCGCGCGCACGCACGCACACACATACATACACACACGGGCCATTTATACGTAATTATGATATTTTTAGTCTTTATCAAATTATCTTGCGAAGAATGTTACATGTACACTTTTAAACATATATATACATACATCATACATACATACATACATACATACATACATACATACATACATTATATATATATATATATATATGTTTTATTTATGCATGATGAGACTATCAAAAGAATAAAGATTACATTTTTTTCTTTCTTTCGCTTCTATTGAAGTCTGTCGAACTGAGTGTATACTTGTTTTAAGTGAACAAGACAAATATAAGAGAATGCACTTAGAAAAAAGGCAGATGTATAATAATATATCGCATCGAGAGCAACATAACGATACAGTGTAAAATGAGGACTCTTATACTGACGTTACAGTCATTTATTTTATTTTTTTTGGGGGGTATGGCGAATCCTTATTTCTTCGAGTATATCTATAATTACAAGTTATAATTATAAATCGATTATTCTCATTATCGACTTAATCCGGATTCGAGGATGAATAAAGACACACGGTTGTTCTATTGTATTTTCTTTGCATTAATTCCGCGGTCAAGAAGAAATATCGTAAAAGCCGGATATTTTGATATTTGACCACATTTATGTAATTGTCACGAATTGTATAAAATAATAAAAGAGTGATTCTGTGTTATTATCTACATAGTGCTAGTAAATTATTGTGCATTATATGTATAATATTATTGAGAGATATATGTTATTATTAAAAGTAAAATACAATGATTTCTGTAAATTGCAGTTTCGTTCTTAAAACATTCTGTCTTTCAATCCCACATCTTTTATCTTCAGATTTTAATAAAAAGAAAAAAACTTTAAAATATATATTTTTTTATACGAGAGTACAGTATTTATCAATACATGATTGTTTAACAATTCTACAATAAAGCAAGAATTCGATGTTGGCAGCTCTCTGATTTTGGACCAAGATCTTCGGGCGAAAGAGAAAGTCTCCAGTCACTCGAACTCTATATTAAATATTTTTTCGTTGTTGCATGCATATATTATATAATTTCTGTTATGTAATATGATGTTTAAAAATATTTTTTAAATTCTAAATTAATGTTTCAGTATATTTATTGTAATATATTAGAATAAAATACAAAGTAATTGTGAATAATAAAGTGTTCGCTTTAATTTAGATGTCGATATAAATTCATGTATATGTCCATAA